GGGCATATAAAGCGAGACCCATATTTTATAGACCAATCGGCACAAGATGGGTGATGTGGTCAGCATCACGCCGGCCACTTTTAGTTAGTTAGTTAGTTAGTTAGTTAGTTAGTTAGTTGGGTTATCATCATTGCACTCCGGACATGTCCATAGGTGCTCAGATCCTCCCCTCAGTATGAATCCCAACGTCCGATGGCTAATAGTACCAGTTCTATGTTGATTAACAAGTCTTCTGACGTGTCCGGTGTGCGTCTCGTTTTTTGCTGTGCCGATCTTAATTCCCAAGTCTGCCATTCTGGCGAGTGATGTGGATAACAATGTCGTTGCTGTAGAGGAGCTTCTCGAAAATGGGTCGGCGTTGACTGAACGAGGCGCAGTTCCAGTAGAGAACGCGAACATACTTTAAGCTGAGTCTCTCACATTTCGGCCACTTTTACTTCCAGGGACTGCACCCGGTACCCACTCAAGGCTGGGTCGACCTGGGAGCCAAGGTCATTTTTGAAAAAAAAAGTCCAGCTCTGCCTGCGAGTGAACCCACAACCTTCTGATCCACGGGCGAGCGTCCAGCGGCGGCGAATCCTATCTATGGTGACTGTCTTTTAAGTTCAACAGGGTTACTGTGTTGGACAGTTACCAGTTCTCATGACTGCTCCTTGTGACCAATGCTTTCTTTTACAGTGATGAGTAACAGACTAGGACAAGCTCATCCAAATGTATGTAAACCTCTTTTATTAGAACACAAATACAAACATACCTTCACACATAATATAATATGACATACACGTATATGACAACAGAAAGATGCAGGCCTACCTCAGAACAAAAACATACATAAAACAAGAAAAGACAGAATGCCGCAGACATACCTCAGAATAAGACGGAGAGTTTTCAGGTCAGCGACCAGCTGACGAGTTTTGGAGCTCAGCTGATGCCAGATGGGTTCCAGTTGTAATCGGATGATGGTCTCAAATGATTTAGATAAAGCATTTTCTACGGTGATTTCATCGGTGTCTATCTGCAGGGAGACCAGACATGTCCAGTTTCAGTGTGCAACAGACATTTTTGTCGAAGGGCCGAATGTAAAACAGGCCTGCGTGCCTAATTTGTAACCCTTTGAAAATAAAGTTTGTTCGTTTGTTCGTTCGTCTTCGTATCTGTGTGTATGTATGAGTGTGCCTGTGTAGTATGAGTGCGCATGTGTGAGTGTGCATGCGCATATATATGCATGCATGTGTGTGTGTGTGTGTATATATATATATATATATGAGTGTGTGTGAGGCATGTTTGTAAGGAGTTGTGTGCAATAGTGTGTATATATGTAAGTATGAATGCATTCTTGAAAGTATGCATTTGCCATCCCTACTTTTGTGTCTTTTTACTTGATATTCCCGTTATAAATGACATTTGGACATAGAATGCTTTATTATATACAAAATACCACTGCTGTGTGAAAGGCCGAATGTAAGACGGGCAATCCCTGACTGGTTCCAGATTTCATCTTATTTTGTAACCATCAGGGCCCCAGAATAACAACAGGTGAAACAGGGCTTACCAGGATTTGTAAATGTAGGAGTCTCATCATACAGGAACAGAACCTTATACCTTCCTTGACATCTGAAGTGGTAAAAGAGGAAGATAAGAAGAAGAAGAAGAAGAAGAAGGAGAAGATTTAAAAAAAAAGAAAGAAAAAGAAGAGGAGAAGGAAGAAGAAGAAGAAGAAGAAAAGATTTTTTTTTTAAAAAGAAGAAGAAGAAGAAGAAGAAGAAGATTTAAAGAAGAATAAGAATAAGGAAGAGGAGGATTCTCCTTATATTTCTATAGAGCAATCTCAACTCAATGCGGTACACATTATGTTAACTACCTTTACTTTCCAGGGCATTTTCATGATACCAGTTTTATGCTAGGTCAACCTGAGAGTTACGGTTAATTTTGTTACGCAGTTCATCCTTAAATGGATAGATGGTACGCAGTTTACAACTAGGCTGCTAATTCTGTGCCTTTCGCATCCAATTTAAGTGAGCACTTGATTAGCCATCTTTTATGATATGCTTGAAAAGGGACAGGGGATGTATTTCCCTCCTTCTGTCATTCCCCTAAAATGCGATCCCCAGATCTCACGGAGAGGCTGCATTTTACTGTGAGGTGTCTTTCAATCTCAGCACTTCATGTGCGGTTTCTGAGCCCCACTGGAAGGGGCGGGGGAGGGCTCTGGGGTGCAACAGCCCCAACACCCCTTCCCCCAAAATGCATGTCATAAAAGGCAACTAATTAGAAGTTTGCCTAAATCAGATGTGTCGGGTTGAAATGCACTGATGTCGCAGATTAGCTGTAAAACATACTCAACATAATAACCGCCCTTTTTATGGCAAAGGCAGAATAAGAATTTCAGCACAAACTAAACATAAACAATTTGTAACAAGAGGCAAACTGCAGCCACACAAAGTCTGCAGCAGCAAAGACTCACACTGGGATTGGAGCGTTTGAGTTCACTGATGCAGGCATTGATCAGATCCAGCAGTGAGGTCTGGCAGGCGGTCATCGCTGGTGTCATCCTCTGATGAACTTCAATAACATCCACCTGCAAGGCAATCCACAAGACAAGCATTGTTAATGTTTGTTGGCATCAGTAACTGTTGGCCTTTATCTTCTTCTTCTTCTTCTTCTTCACCAGCTGTAAACTCTGGTAGAAAATTTTGTTTGCTCGTCCACTTCTGGACTCTAGTTCCATTTCAGAAACTGAGTGCTGCGTGCACATCCATTTTACTGGTCTGACACATCTGCATGCGGACCTTTGGGCCTTCGCCTCTCATGCAGATGCACTCTGACTTCGAAGTAAGCTCCCAATCAGTCAACTCTTACGACATGCTTTTGGGTCACCTGTTGCTGCTGACTGTCTGATCAGTTCCCTCCATCTTCATCAGTCAGATGTAATAGATTTGACGTTAGTATGTTTGAGGCCTCTCCATTCAGCTATATTCTGTATCCAGCTCTTGGGTATTCTCCCTCTTCTTCTCTTTACCTCTATAGAGAACTGCAGTAGAGATGCCACAAGATCTAGTGCCATGCCAGTACTGTTGCATTTTCCATCTTTTCTTTGTTGTTAGAAGCCTATCATAGTTGTCAATTGGTCTTTAAAGAAAAATCCACAACAGGCTAGCATTTTAATCATATCATTTATTATGTTGAAGAGGGTACTTCACAAACACACATACACCCACCCACACACAAACAAAATCATGGCTGAGGTGAGCAGGTAAAGGACCTTTTACCAATTGGGTACATCAGGCCAAACTTATATTTCATAGATCAATCGGCACTCAGTGGGCGATGTGGCCAAAATTACACCGGCCACCTTTACTTCCCAGTACTTTACATGGTACCCATTTAAGGTTGGGTCAACCTGGGAGCGAAGGTCATTTCTGAAACTGTCGTAACCCGCAATGTGACCTACGGATCCGAAAGCAAGGTGAACAGGTACTCTATAATAAAAGCTAACTAATATCTTGTGAGCATAACACTGCCAGGACTGAGGTGTGTGGTTACCTTGTGCTTGTTAAAAGTGGACACCACACTAGCATGGAATCTTGGCCACAAAAACAGCTTCTTGACATACAAATTCTTCATCATCCTCTCCACATGACAGAAACCACTGGTGAAGGCTTCCGGGCTGTCTGTAAAAGCTTTGATAAAGCCAGTCTGTGGATGAAAGAAGCAATGGGCATTACAAGCCCCTGTTTTGTGGGGTATATAATGTAAGCACAGAAAAATCACACATTTTAACGTACCAAGCATATCATAAGAGGAATTCAAGGAGGGCTGGTCTATGTCATCTTGTAGCAAACTAGTTGCAAAATTTAAATAATCTAGCTTCCTTCGAAGTCGGAGTACAGCTGCCCATGAGGCAGGGAAATGAAAAACGGTTGTACACGCAAAAATCAGGTCCAGGTGAAAGCCAAAAGTCCAAGCGGACGATTAACCGGGACCTTCCACTGGAATTCACAGCCGGTGATCGATTAAAAAATAAAAATAATCTAGAACAAATCTATGAATGGTTAAATTTGAGGTTTGAACAACAGATCAACATCATCAGTGCTCCATTCTTCTTCTAACTCAAGTCTAGAGTCCGAAGAAGCTCAGCACGCACAGGCTCTGTAGCACCGGCGAGGATCCTGAAATATTTTGGGTAGATTTTTAACTCAAAATTTTGCACGGGCAGCGCGCTTAGGCTACTATTTTTTATTTCCAACTGTTAAGGAATTTTTTAACGTGCGCAACAATACACACGGGTGTCCGATCTCACTACCCAGGGGAATTACTAAAAGTCCAGGTCAACGTGAAAAAAATCCCAGCTCTCACTGGGGATTGAACCCGGAACCTCTAGCACGCGAGGCGGGCACCATGCCTCGAGACCATGCCTCGAGACCATGCAGTGGTATTAGGTTTATTGGGACCGTTTTTTCCTATTTCTTTCCTGTTTAAAAAAAAAAAAAATTTTGTTTGGCCCCTTTCCGTCTTTCCAGACGATCACATCATACTGTCCTATAGGGTCATGAGAATCATAGCCAATGGTGAGTGGGACAAACAACACCCGCTCGGCTTGAGAAAGGTCTTGCTAGCCAATTGCAGTTGAAAATGTCTTACACCACCAGAGGCAGCCTGTGGCGCCCTCACCTACGCCAAATGAGGACTTCAAATGAGAACACATGACAATAATCACAGCCTGTGGATTTGTTTCCAAAACCAATCAAGGCCAGGGATAAAGTTCTGCCGCCTCGTTACTCACTGTCTGGGTAGTGCATCCAAACCATCATTTGAAGAAAACAGATGGGGGGAAAAAGGGGGTGGGTGTATAATAATAAGAATAAGCAGGAATGGGATCAGGAGGAGAGCACGAGTGAAAACAAGAAATGGTGCCAATTTTAAACACGAACATACACTGTCATCAGACAGCACACAAAGAAGATAAAGGAATAATCATTTTAAAACAGAAAGATTTTACCTTATTTTTTTGTCGATACAAGCGCAAGAATAAACGCTTCCTGGCAGGACTCAATGATTCTGTGAGAAGATACAGAAATATACAAATCAACCACCCCTATTCTATTGAAATTCAGATTTCTCAATAGAAGAACAACAACTGTTGGCCAGTCCCATTATTTACAGCAGAGATCTCAAAACTGTGCTGTATGGACTGGTGTTATTCAATTTCTTTTATTATTATTCTTACTCATAATTTACAGTTAAACTTTGTTAACACAAACTTGCTTAAGAAGAACAATCAGTTAATAGGAACTTGCATAAGAAGAATGATCAGTTAACAATAACTAAATTCTGGTCCCAGAAGGGATGTATTTTTGTTATCAGTTCTTGGCTGCGCAAACACACACAAAACAAACGCACACACACATTTGATTTCCGGTCCTCAGGAATTTGTGTTGACCAGGTTTTACTATGTAACAATGACATTAATCTTAAAAATATTGTATATTTTGTATTATAAATGAAAGGTTTTCATGAGATGGCATGTGTTGTAAATCATTCATTTCGCTATTATATATCATTAATTTCGCTATTATAAATAATTCATTTCGCTATTATAAATCATTCATTTCGCTATTATAAATCATTCATTTCGCTATTATAAATCATTTATTTCGCTATTAAGATTTATGTATGCGAATTATTTCAAGAAACCCAACATGCTTACGGGGTTTATGTGCAAAACTAAGCAAAACTGCATATTTGGAACATTTGTGTTGCTAACTGCTCAATGACAAAGCGCTTGTCTCTAATCGTAAACAAACTGAGCGCCCTTGGCAAACATCTGCATTTGGTGGCTTTTTGTCAGAGCTTGGCATCTGTGTTTACTAGGGGAGGGGATTCATTTTTGAACAGGATTTCAACTGCACTCACTGTGGAATATTAGAGCTGCAGTTTCAACTTAAACTGCACAAAAATCTATTTAATTTGTAAGGCTGGAACCATTCCAACTCTATTACACACCGGCATGTTAGAAATATGGTGTGGTAGACCTGTTCCTCAAATTCATTTTACATTTTATGCTGCCACACTGCCGCCATCTCTCTCTCTCTCTCTCTCTCTCTCTCTCTCTCTCTCACGCAGAGACACACAACTACCGCTGACATCTCTGACATTATGTTTCCTAATCTAACAAGCTGTCTCACTTGTGAGCCCTGTAGACAAGTATTCCAGTGACGTGACCCACAGGGACCCGGTCTGTCAGTAGATCCACCACCAGGATCCGGGATGTGATGAACAGAACACCTCCCTGCACATAGGTTGTCTGTCTGAGGATAAACAAATTAACACACTTGTATCTGTGTCACATTAACATTTTTGTCTAGTAATCACAATTTGTTGTGTCAATAAAGAACAGGACCCTTTACCACGCCTTCAGGTGTATTGGGCACATAGGGCTAGACCTATATTTTATAGACCAATCGGCACTTGGTGTGTGATGTAGTCAGCATCCCACCAGCCACCTTTACTTCCCAAGATTTTACCCGGAAGACTGGGTCGACTTGGAAGCCAAGGTCATTTTTTGTTTAAAGTCCAGCTTCGTTCAGATTTCAATCCATGACCATCCAATCTGCAGGCAAGTGCCTAGCCACTACACCACAGTGGCTTCCTTCTCTGTCAGTGTCTGCACTAAATATCAATCTCTGTGTCAGCATCTGCCATAAATATCAAATCAACCTTTATGTCACTGTAAGCCCTACATTTAACAAAACAAGAAGCAGTACCTCTCTGCTGCGTTGATTTCATTTGTGATGACTTTCGGTGGGTTGGTAATCCCCTGTTTTTCTAACTGTTCTGTCAAATATGCCTAGATTGGGAAAAAAAAATGTAACATCAAAATGAGAAGATATAATTCATCATCATCATCATCATCAACATCCTGCCATGTTGCTATAGTCACATAAGACTTGCAACCTAGTCCTCCATTTCACTGTAGCCTGTCAATATCATAAATGGAATACAGTCCTGCACTTTTGGCTTCTCTCAACAACTTTCATCTTAGGGTTTCTCTTGAACGTATTCATATCCTCAACCCATTTGTTTCCCATTTCAATGCCTGTTTAGTAATTCTCTGTCCGCTTCTCCTCATTACACACCCAATATATTACCATCTTAATTTTTCTTACAACTGTTGATACAATGGTGATGGAGGTTGCAGGCAGACCTCCGCAAAGGTGGATACAAGGCATTCAAGAAGCATGAAACCCCACAGGGCTCGAGAACTGGCTAGAGAAAAAGAGAGTGTGCCGCGATGAGAGCAATGTTCTGTGAAGGACTTGCTGATTGATGTGTGTGTTGATACAAAAAGAGAGAATGGCAATGACTGAGAGATAAATAAGAGTTTAATGGGAGCAGATCATGATACAGACCAAGACAAAAGTAGAGAGATAATATACACAGGCAGACTTACAAACACTTGGAGACATCATCTGGAAAAAGAAGGCCGGGCACAGAACTGAATGGAGGCATGTGATATGTGTAGTAATGAACCTGAGGGGCTCAGAATGCAGAAGAAGAAGAGGCAGAAGAGGAAGCAAAAGAAAAAGAAGCAGGAGGAGAAGAACAGAAGCAGGAGGAGGAGGAGCAGGAGAAGGAGGAGGAGAATAAGAAGAGGAAGCAGAAGAAGAAGAGGAGGAGGAGGAGAAGAAGAAGAAGAAGGTGATATCTGGCAGTCATCATACCTAGCACTCAATGAACCCTACACATGAGAACCTATGTCTAAAGCAACCTACAAACAGAACACATAATGTGGAAGGGACAAACCTCGTCAGCAGGCGTGGTATTCAGCACCAGGACCAGACTTGCCGGGTCACAGTAGACTTTGAGAAAATGCAGGAACAAGCGACTGACCCCTAGACCTCTGAAACAAGAACATTTCAGAACAGGTTTAGCAAACAAAACACGTATAGGCTACAGTTAAACCTGACAAGGACTTCATCTGCTCTCTCCATGTGGGTTCTGGGATGAAAAAGAATAGATCCATTGTCTCTCACACATATGTAAAATAGATGTGCACACGCAAAACTCAACTTCTGGAATAAGACCAAAGTCCAGAAGTGGACGAACAAACAGAACATTCTGCTAGAGTTTACAGCCAGTGAAGCTAAGAGAAGATGACGAAGACTATATTTCATTATAAGCTCGAAATCTTCTTCTTCTTCTTCTAAGCGTTCATCAGCTGTAAACTCGTTTTACGACATGCTTGTTAAGGGGGCAGAGTGTCTATTCGTTTTTAAAAACAAAACAAAATGGGGCCCCAGAACCCACACAGGGAACTTGAAATCTGACAATGAATATAATTTATGAATACTTAACACTTGATGATGATAAAGCTAAGACCTCAAATGACATTCCTACATCTCACTGACACACTTAAAATCTGGCAATGGCATCACAATATCCTACCAATAAATTAAAAACCTGACAATGATAAAATTAAAACCTGACAATGATAAAATTAAAACCTGACAATGATAAAGTTAAAACATCATCATCATCAGTTCTCCTTATGTCTAGTGGCACATGAGGCTTCAGAGAGGACTTTCCATGCTCTCCTGTCCTGCGCAATCTTCAGTGCAGTTTTCCATGTCAAAGATGCCGCATTCAGGTCACTCTCTATCGTTTGTCTCCATGTTGTTTTTGGGCGCCCCTGTTTTCTCTTTCCCTCTGGTGTCCATGTGAGAGCTGTTTTGGCGGGTATATCAGAATTCATTCTCATGACGTAACCAAGCCATTTCCATCTTCTCTTGGTTATCATACTGTCTAAAGTTTCTTGGTTTGTGATTTTAAGTAGTTTAGTGTTTGAGATTGTATCTGGCCAGAAAATTTTGATCATTCTACGTAGACATGTATGGTGGAAGGTGGACAGCTTGTGTGCATCCTTTTTGGTCATTCTCCTGCATTCCGCTCCATAAAGAAGAACTGGCAAAATGATGCTCTTGTAGAGTCGGAGTTTCATTCCTCTGCAGTAATTGTTGGATTTCCAGATTTTCCTTCCAAAAGCAGCTCTAGCTTTGTTGAGATGTGACAAAGTTAAAACATGACAATGATAAAAATTAAAACCTGACAATGATAAAATTAAAACCTGACAATGATAAAGATGAAACTTGAAAACGACATGACTATATACAAGTAAATAGGTTAATTTTTTGCCTTGTGAATGCTGGATATGACTTTACCCAGCTGATAAGGTTATAACCTAAAAATTATGGTATTCCCCTGTTGATAATAATGAACTGGTAAAACAGGTAAAAGCCTAGTTGAGCAAGGTAACTTCTTTTTCTTCTTCTTCGAATGCACCGGCTGTAAACACCAGCGGAAAGTTCTGGGTATTTTTCCACCTCACGACTTTAGTCTTGTTCCAGAACCTGAGTATTGCATGCACATCAGTTTGACACATCTGACTTATCTGAATGCAGATTGTTGGTTCCTTGCCTATCAGGCAGATGCACTCTGTTCTTGAAGGAAGCCCCCAGTTTGTTGACTCTTACAACACGCTTGCTGGGGAGGCAGCGGGTCTATTCTTGTTCTCCCCTACAATGGGACCCCAGAACCCACTTGGTGATTAGGGTAAATGATTACCTGGACATAATAAGAAGGCCGTCATCATGGAACATATCCAGGAAGATCTGGTTTTCATAATCCAACATGGCTGCAATCTGTTCTTGGACCAGCTTTCTGTGAGAACAAATCGCTACCTAGCCAGGAGAAAGCAAGATCTCCTCATCGTATGTGTTGCCAGAAACTGAGACAGCACAGATGCAGGCATATCTGTAACAATGAGATGGTAGAATGTATGACAATTTCAATACATCAAACTGATCAATATCACTGATGGACATGTAAAAATTGTTTTTTTTTAAAAACTGTTTTTTTGCTGCTTGTTTTGACCACTTTTAGGGCAGTGTAGGGCAAAAGCACAAGGAATTAATTTAAGGCTGCATGCTGGATCTGCACCACTGGATGACAAGGCAGATGTGGTCAAGGCCCTTTGGGAACAAGCAAGGAAATCAGTAGAGAAACACGATTATTATGGCCCAATGAGGCACTCGGGTGTAACCCGAGGGTCTAGCCGGCTCACTACACTCAGAGGAAAGACAAGACGGACATATAACCAGATTGTGACTGGTACGATCAGTACTGGAACTCTGCGCTGGCTGCTGAAGATGATGATGGAGCACACATGGGAATGTCCCGAGTGCTGTGATGTCAATTCTTGACTCAACTCAAGGCTGCAGTTATCCTGAACTGTGCAGGTCTGGATTTTCATTTTTGCCTCTGAGAGAAAAATTATCCACCCCTCACCGAGGATTGAACCCACTCTCCCTCATGACAGCCCATTCAGTCAGATATTTAAAGCAGTTGGGTCATTTTTAGTCTATTACTTTAGGGTTCTTTATCAATATACGCCCCCAGATGATGTCACAGGACAGTCCAACATTTTAGAGGGTGTTAAGACTAGGTTTCCTGGCTTTCTGATGCTTTTAATGACCCAAAGACATTTAGAACTCGCCCTAACACCAATCCACCTATGTCCCACGAGAGAGTGCAACCTTGGTCCCACGACTGCATGCAGCCTATCTACAACCTCCTGAAATATTAGACTGTCCCGCGACCTGTGGATTTCCCCTGTTTGGGGTAGGATATTAATAAAGCACCTACTTTAGGGCTGAATCGGTACTTCAGTCACCAAGAAGTGTGCAGGCTAGGAACTTATTTTCACCCTTGACAGGAAAGAAATCCCATCATCTTAGGAATGCAGGTTGTATGGATGCTGGTTGTATGAGTATGTGCACGTGTGAAAATGAATGGTAATGAAACTGCAGATTGGGAAGCAAAAATAATGTGGATCAAATAAAAACACTGTTCATGTAACTATGAGCACAGAGGACATAAAATCACTGATTACAAAATTTATACTAGAGGACTGGTCCTGAAACTGAGACTACAGTCTAAAGGTTGGACATTCAGGCTATCTTCCGAATAACGGTCCCAAATTATCGAGGCAGAAAATGTACCCTAACAGGGCCTCAGTCACGTGTCAATTGCGCACTTCCGGCGACTTTAATTGCGCATGTCCGCCACCGCCGAGAGTATCCCCCACGCCGCTCACATTCCAAATGAAATCCACAGCTCACAGTGTAACACCATGCATTTAACTCAGAAGCTGGGCGACGAAACTATATCCAGTCTACAAACAAATGGAACAAAAATGCATCGGCCACCGTCCAGCAGAAGCAAAAAAATTGCCTCGGCTCCAAAAACAGGAATTACGTTTGGTAGGGGAAGCATCTCTCCTGGTTATTGTCAAAACTTTGTTTAGCGCCCCTTGCAGAATGTGTTCCGGATAGAAACGGGCAGGGAAGAAATCAAGAAGTTCAACTTTTTTGATTTATCTAAAAAGTCAGAATCATCAGCAGAGCACAACCTGCGCAATCGAAGGAGCTGTGAAAAAGGGAAATTAGGTCAAATAATATTACTAAAATTATAGCAGCCTAGGAATTTACCGGGAGTTTTTCAAATATGATAAGTCTGTGTGGTGCTACCTCATCTAACTACTACCCATCTCGTCTTTATCCAACAATTGTTAAACGATCAACAAACAATGATCCAAATGCAAACATCTCTATTTCCATACAATGTTGTTTCTTTAACTGAAGATTCAGCCCTCTATGGATCACAGTTACCGTTCTTACACTCTTATCCTTCTTCTTCGATCGTATTGTATCGTATCGTATAAAATCAAACAAAACTTCCAAGCTTAGTCCTTTTTTAGCCGCCTGACGGCCTGCTTTTTCAAGGACGGGTTATTTGCTATCTTATTATAGTTGTTTCCTTTGTGGTGAGCAATTACACCTGAGTTTGTTCTTTGTTGCCCAAGTTCTGGTTTTTATGGGTCCTAGTTCCTGTTTTAGTTGGCTGTCCGCTAGCTGTTGCACTGTTCATCTGTGCGGGTACCAAGTCAGTCCCCAGTCACACCGCGAAACAAACAGTTCCAAACTTCTTCGATCCTTCTGTCAGTTAACTTATATCAGGAGGCCGGTAGTCTTTATGAAAGCTCTCATCCAGTCCGTATCCTCTCGTGTACCATACAGATTTGTCTTAATTGTTGTTGGAACAGCCAAGATTGAGACTCTGTTGTCAGCATACAGTTGAAAGTGTTGGAGAACATGCTCAGCATTTTCTGCAGGGACACGTCTCCGTGTTTCCTACACCGAAAAATTTGAGCATATGTTGACGAAGTCGGTTATGCCCAGTCTTCTCTTATGCGGTTCTCAAACTGGGTGCCGTGGCACCCTAGGGTGCCGCGAGCGCATGCCAGGGGTGTCGCTGCAATAATCAAGAAATTTCCCAAATCTGCTTAAGATCAGCGAAGACAGGAGTTTAAAGCAGAAATACCATTAAGTTAGCCAAGAAGAGTTTAGGATGTAGGTGTGTTCTGAAGACAATGCTATTGGCAAGGTTGCAGTGCATTCCCAACGTACGCTTACATTAAAAAACAGACACAATAGCAACCTTCAAGTGATTTGAAGTTTAAATAAACTAAACTTCTTATATACATAAAGGAAATAAGGAAAAAGGCATCCAAACAGTTTCATTCTTCTCAGTAAAGACAACTTAACATCAAATGAAGCACTCTTTTTTCGTCTTTTCCTAAATATTCAGACCGCAGATAGGTGTGCTGCGAAAAACTGTCCGACAAGGGTGCCGCAGCGAAAAAAGTTTTAGAAAAGCTGGATGAACCATGATTTAAAAAAACAAAAACAATAATGGTAACTGAAAAAGAAAAATACCCTTCCGCAATGCAACATCAAAGTACAACATTTTTACAAAATGAAAAATGTTCTATGAAATCTTTCTTTGTCAGTTCAGATGGGAAAGAGAATACTTAAAAGCTATAGACGAATGATAAGAATACCACGGACAGATTAAAGGAGTAACAAAGACGTCTTGAAAAAAACAAAAAAACAAACTGATTTATGAAGAGAACTGATTGCCCACATGAGAAGGAGACAATCTACACTCTTCGGTCATGTTATGAGAAGTAGAAAACTGGAGTACATCGTGACAGTGGGTAAGTTGGAGGGGAGGAGAGGCAGAGGGAAGTTGAGAGAGAAGACTTTGGACAGTTTAAAATTATGGCTTGGAAGACCATTTGCGCCTTAAGTGATTGAAAGTACACGAGAAAAGGGTTGTGGGTATACGTAACTTGGCGTTTCTTGGACATCCGCTAATTTTTTATCTATTTAGAACATTAAGAGGTGTAGCAGCTGGCTGGGCTGACAACAACCTCCCCTCGATAAATTCAACGAAATGCACTAAATGATTGTTTGGTTTCAACTAAATCTGCTTATTTATAGCAGAAATTACGCTTTATCTTTTGTACAATGCATTATAGAAATATGTCAAGTATTTCTTCTAGTTTCATTTATTTGTTTCAACAAACCAATATCCTGTTACTTATATTTGCGTTCGACTGATTAATAAAAAATAAAATGCGTCTGACATTTAATTTGAAAAGCAGGACGACAACTCCATAGACTAAAGTATCAACAGTTTAGCAGGTTATTTCCCTTAGTAATAAATGCATTGACGTTAGACATGAAAAAGAAATGAGCGGAAACAAAGGCTCGGTGCTACATTAAAAATCTGATGAGTTTCCAGCAGTTTTTCCTCTGCTTTTGTAATTGCTTTCCCTGGGACTGCATTCTGAATGATTGACGCCAGCCATCAAATGGCCATTAATCACTCAGTCGGACCTTTACAGAGCACACTTCTATCACACAATTAGCCCGTCTCTCTAGCGTAGATGGCTAAACCGGATTGCGCGGTGAGCGGGTGACGAACTTCTTGTGGTCCGGGTTCACTCCCGGGGGTGGGCAGAAAAGCCACATTTCTCCCAGATTTACGGTATTTAAAATGGAATCAACGCCGAAAGGTTGCGATATCCATAATACCAAGCCTAAGGGTTAACAACTCATGGCTTCTGGATACTAAAACATACATAAAACTATTACATAATTACGGCCTTCGTTAAAGAAACTCTATTACGATAGCCGTTCTAATACGGGACGCAATTTTTTTGTTATTTCAAAACCTGAATCTGAATGGGTGAGTGAGATTCAACCCCAACAGGACATCCACACAAAGTGCCGCCATGCGGATGAGGTCACCCAGGAAGAGGTCCCAGAAACCCCGTTCAAACCATAGTTTGAGTTATATTAGGGCCTCCGGCAACTGCCAGTATGAGGCTTTAAAACAACAACAACAATTGCATCCGTCACTTGAACGCAGTGTGGTTTCAAGGGTACTGCGGCTGTTGTCGGGGACCCTAATATAACCAACGGTTGAACTGAGTTCCTTGGATTTGTACCCGAGTGATCCTCATCCAAATGGTGGTATTTTTGTTTTTGTCGATGGGTGTTGGTCGCTCGCTATGCGGTCCTCATGGCGTTAAACGACACACATAAACTTTACCGCAACCGTGCTAACACGAGACAACATTCTTTGTTATTTTAAGCCCTCAAGACGGTTGTCGTCAAGGAAAATATAACCTAAGGGTGGAGCGGGGGTTCTGGGACATGTGCACTGAGCCATCGGGGTTCATTTCTGTAGATATCGCTAGCCTTCATCCGCCTCTCTGATTAGCCTTCTGATTCCAGATGGTGACCCCCAGTTATTTGTAGATCTACATGTAAATTATGTCTCCATCGTCTTCTTGATCTATCTGGCAAGTAAGGCGGTTACTACGACTGGCCAGGAGTGACGTCATTAATGCCATGCGAGCTGCATATCGCAGAGAAGATCGCGACAACAAGCAGGACTCAGTTTCCTTGTGCACAGGGTTGCCAGATACAAAACTTCATTTTATGCCAAACCATTACCCAAAATAAGCCAGAAAATGCCAAATAGTGTAACACTGTACTCGCTTCACATCAAAAGCTCTAGATTGAAATCTTCTCTGTCACCCTCACTGGACAAGTGGAAGATACAGCGTAAACCTTTTCGGGTGTAAAATCTGTAAGCATTTTCTCATATGGGATGAAGTCTTTGCAACTCATCTATAATGAAGGCATATTTCTTGTTCAGAAAATCATCAATAAGGCCATCCTTAAGTGCAGGCGATATAATATTTTTTATTAGGCATGAACATTCAGTTCTATGCAACAGTATGTGCTCCAATGTACACCCCTGACCATGCGCTCTCATGATTTCACTTAGATGATCAATTGTGCATATTGCACAATGGCAGGTCATGCCTACAGCAAGTTGTACTCTGCTGCCTTTAACTTTATCATTACTTTTCCCATGAGTCATTGTTGTAATATTATTATTGTGTTGAAGATGCACAGATGCATTATTCACTCTGAGGCAAGTGTGTGAGAAAGCCATTGAGTATAATACCAAAGAGAATATTGTGTTTATAGATCAGTAAAGGCTTTTGATAGAGTGGATAGAAACAAACTGTGGTCTGTTCTTGAGAACTACGGGGGTACAAGGACAGTTACTAGAGAACATCATAACCATGTACCATACAAGCCAAAGTGCAATAAGAACACAAGAAGGCATATCAGATATGTTCACAGTCAACACAGGTGTGAGACAGGGATGTGTGCTCTCCCCGCTTTTATTTAACATCTATATAGACAGAATATCTAAAAAAGCAAGTTCTGATACAGACAACACAGACTTTATAATCATGATGAAGTACACACATCAGGAGGTTATCGATTCAACCACATTAAACGAACTACTATTTGCTGACGACCAGTGCTTGTTCTACCCTGAAGAAGATAGACTGCAAGACCACATCACCAGGTTAAACTCAGCATGCAGTAAATACAACATGAAGATCAATGTAAACAAAACCGAAACAATGCAAGTTAGTAGAACCCCTGCCCCACTACACATACAGCTGAATTATTCTGCTCTGAATCAAGTTAGGGAGTTTAATGAGATGGGACAGCAAACATCTGAGCACATTCTGCAGGTCCATGGTTTTATGTTTATGACAGAGTCCTATGGTAGTCATTCCTTTACTGTATTGTAAATGGCTCACAACATATAAACCAGGGACAGTTCACTTGCTATAACTAAATTTTAAGTTGAAAGTGTTCATTTGCTATAACTAAATTTTAAGTTGGAAGTGTTCATTTGCTATAACTAAATTTTAAGTTGGAATTGTTCATTTGCTATAACTAAATTTTAAGTTGAAAGTGTTCATTTGCTATAACTAAATTTTAAGTTGAAAGTGTTCATTTGCTATAACTAAATTTTAAGTTGGAAGTGTTCATTTGCTATAACTAAATTTTAAGTTGAAAGTGTTCATTTGCTATAACTAAATTTTAAGTTGAAAGTGTTCATTTGCTATAACTAAATCACTAGGTGGCTGAACAATTAAAAAAAAAAAAAAAACAATGTATTTTGAAAATACTGAATGTTGCGAATTAAGAATCGACATCACAGCACTAGGGACACCCCCATAAAGCGCTCCGTCCCCATCTTCAGCAGCAAGCAAACTTCTAAAATTCCGATGGTACCAGTAGCGGTCTGAATGTATATCCGTCTCGCCTTTTCCCTGAGTGTCGAGAGTCAGTCAGATTCCTTTGTAACTCCTCGCAGTGCCATTCTCCTCAGACCGTAATGATCTATCTGTTTCTCAGCACATTTCACTGTCGAAAATACTGAAACAAAAACATTAACTGAAAAATCTAAAACCAAATAGCCCTTTATGGAGTATAATGTTTCATTTTATTGACCCCACAAATGATCAAGTGTAGTACCAGATTTAACTTTAACAAGATGGATCAGATTCAGTAAAGATCTGCCAGTCGGCCAATGATATCCAAAGTCTGGCCATCTATGTTGACAGGTGGAGCTTCTGAACGACGACAGCCAAGCTGGGACAGGATGTGGCGGCAGTCATGTTCCAAGCGAACAAGTCCCTCAACAAATATGAGCACGTTAGTGTGGTCAATGTTCTGGATGGCATAATGGAGGTAGAGTTGCTCGGCCAGTTTTCTCCGGTAGAAGTCCCCTCTGTCGCCAGGCATACCTTGATCTTCATGGTTGCCCTGCAGAGTGGTTTAAAAATGTCAATATAATACTACTGGCTGCACATGACATTTAAGCTGCATGTGGCATTTTAGGTTGCATGTGACATTTAAGTTGCATGTGATATTTAGTTGCATGTGATATTTTGTTGCATGTGATATTTAGTTGCATGTGATATTTAGTTGCATGTGATATTTAGTTGCATGTGATATTTAGTTGCATGTGATATTTAGTTGCATGTGACATTTAAGTTGCATGTGACATTTAAGTTGCATGTGACATTTAAGTTGCATGTGACATTTAAGTTGCATGTGATATTTAAGTTGCATGTGACATTCAAGTTGCATGTGATATTTAGTTGCATGTGATATTTAGTTGCATGTGCCATTCAGTTACATGTGACATTTAGGTCACACATGATATTTAAGTTGCATGTGACGTAATGACTGGGACTTGACCACAGGGCAGACTAAGAAGATGGTGAATGGGTAACACTCAGATGCATCTTTAAACATTTGGATTCACCGATGGAAAAGAGAAAGCATGTCATAGAGATGAATGAAAGCAGGTTATGGCTTTTGCTTTCCACCTCTTTTTTTAGGCTAGTATTCATTTCCGGTATTCACACATGCCTCAGAGCTTCAACTGGCCAGACATACATGTGGATTTTTCTAGGAGAGACCTCAGTTAAGTGATTTTGTGCATTCTTGATTGTAAATGGAACACTGTCCGTTCCGTTGATGTGTTTATGAAGACTTTCTAGCCATAACGTGCACTTGTTATCTGTTACAGCATGAAGCTGACTAGACTGGTACATTTAGTTTGATATTTTTTCATGATAGAGGCAAATAGAATCTTGGTCACAATTAATATTAAGGCATGGTGTCTGCCACTGGTGTTAGAGGTCCCGGGTTCAGGCCCGGTGAAGGCTGGGATTTGTTCATGTAGACTTCTAGTAATTTCCCTTGGTCTGTGGGTAGTAAGACTGGACGCCCGTATGTAGTGTAAAAAAAATCCTTTGGCAGCTGGAAATCGAAAAGAGTAGCCTAACAGCTCTGCCCGGAGGAAATTTTTGACTTATCAATCTACCTAAAGTAGTTCAGGATCCTCGCCGGTGCAACAAGTTAGTGCACTACACTGAGATTCTTCAGACGCATGCTAGAGTTAGAAGAAAAACTGAGCACTTATGGGTTATACGTGTGTGCCTTGATGTTGATCCGTTGAATAAACATAAACATTGCATCTTCTTTTTTTGCTTCCATTTGAAGAAGTATAGGCGTTGTTCCCATTTACAGCATAGGAGCGGTATTTGTGCCTTTTGGCCGACACATTTCTGCATATTTTTTTTTTCTGGGTTAGCCTTCCTGGGGAAAACAGAATCTAATAATCTTACATATTTGGCTTATGTGTACATTTAATTTAGTAAAACACTTAGACTGCAGCACACACACAAAAAATGATACCTAGCCACACATAACAATAAAGGAACATGATGATACCTGACAAATCAACCATTAAAAACACATTCAAACAAATCTCTTCTAGAGAATGATCAAACGAACAAGCTTTTTTTCAATTTTTTATTTTTAAAGGATCACAAATTTGGCGCCCATGTCCATCTTATTTCACCCCTTCCCACACGGCACTGATCTTCTTCTTCTTCTTCGCCTTCACCAACTGTACACTCTGGCGGATAGTTCTATTTACTCATCCACTAGTGAACTGCAGTCCTGCTCCAGAACCTGAGTGTTGCATGTGCATCAGTTTTACAGATCTCATTCTCTTGAATACAGACTGTTGGTCTCTTGCCTCTCCGGCAGATGCACTCCGACTTCAAAGGAAGCTCTCCAATTAGTCGACTCTTACGACATGCTTTTGGGGATGCAGTGGGTCTATTCTTGTTTTCCCCATAATGGGGCCCCGCAACCCACACGGGGGACGGCACTGATAAAAGGAACCTTGTCCACATCTTCAGCCGCATTGGGAATACAGTGCTGGACCTAAATTTTATAGACCAACCCGCACTTGGTGTGTGGTGTGATCAACATCATGCTAACCACTTTTACTTTCCAGGAATTTACCTGGTGTCCATTTAAAGGTTGACCTGGGAACCAAGGTCATTTAAAAAAAAGTCTGGCTTTGTTCAGATTTGAACCCATGACCTTCGGATCGACATGCAAGCCTCTATCCACTACACCATAGCGGCTCCCACACAACAATTATATTTTATCTATAAAGTTTGTTGGGCTCATATAGTAATATACACAATGTAAATATTATGTAAAATAAGGTAATATCAGATTATTAGAAGATACAGAAACCACACACACACACAGACAACCATACATGTAGTGCTTTTTTTCTTGTGGTACATACTAAATAACAATAAAATGAAGAAATTGAAAATGTCACAAACTTTGAATATCTAGGCTCTGTTATAAATAGCAATAGAGACTGTTTAACTGAAATTAAAAGGAAGATGGCCATAGCAATGCAAAGATTAAACAGCCCAGAAAGTCTATGATTAAGCTGAAATATTTTGGTCATATCAAGCGCCACGATGGATTGAAAAAAATTATAGCAGAAGGCATGGTACCAAGAAGGAGGGGCAGGGGCCGACTGACGCGAAGATGGGCACAGGATATAAGTAACTCATTGAGTATGAAAGTACATGAGGCGGGAGAGCTGGCGAGAGACCGAGTTTCTTTTAGGCAGACTGTGATGACAACTACTTTCTGCAAAGGACCTGCTACATGATGATGACATAGTTATGGTACACACTGATGGTACACACTGATGGCACACACTGATGGTACACACTGATGGTACACACTGGTGGTACACACTGATGGCACACACTGATGGTACACACTGATGGTACACACTGATGGTACACACTGATGGTACACACTGGTGGTACACACTGATGGCACACACTGATGGTACACAATGATGGTACACACTGATGGCACACAATGATGGTACACACTGATGGTACACACTGATGGTACACACTGATGGTACACACTGATGGTACACACTGATGGTACACACTGGTGTTACACACTGATGGTACACACTGATGACACACACTGATAGTACACACTGGTGTTACACACTGATGGTACACACTGATGGTACACACTGATGGTACACACTGATGGTACACTCTGATGGTACACACTGGTGTTACACACTGATGGTACACACTGGTGTTACACACTGATGGTACACACTGATGGTACACACTGATGGTACACACTGGTGTTACACACTGATGATACACACTGGTGTTACACACTGATGGTACACACTGATGGTACACACTGATGGTACACACTGATGGTACACACTGATGGTACACACTGATGGTACACACTGATGGCACACACTGATGGTACACACTGATGGTACACACTGATGGTACACACTGATGGCACACACTGATGGCACACACTGGTGGTACACACTGATGGCACACACTGATGGCACACACTAGTGGTACACACTGATGGTACACACTGATGGTACACACTGATGGTACACACTGATGGCACACACTGATGGCACACACTGATGGCACACACTGATGGCACACACTGGTGGCACACACTGATGGCACACACTGATGGCACACACTGTTGGTACACACTGATGGTACACACTGATGGTACACACTGATGGTACACACTGATGGCACACACTGATGGTACACACTGATGGTACACACTGATGGCACACACTGATGGTACACACTGATGGTACACACTGATCGTACACAATGATGGTACACACTGATGGTACTATAATTAATCCTTTAGCAATCAGGGTTTCAGCTTCACTGTGATAGTCACTTTGTGTTGAGTTAGTTAGTCTTTCCTCTTTTACCTAGGGCGGCACATAAAGCAGAGGCATAGCCCTCCATGAATGGTGGTTGGTTGACACCTGTTTTAGGTCTCGGATGTTCACTAGGCCGGTGGCCGAGCCTTCCCTGATGATGGGTCTAAGCAAAGTCTCTCTTGGTCTGCTCTGTTTTTTTTTTCCCTTCTGGTGTCTATATAAGGGCTTAATGGAAAGGTAAGGGGGAGGGGAGGGGGAGGAGGGGTAGTCTGGTCATTGATTCTTAGCGCGAGGCTGATGTAATTTTGTGACGAGTACTGGCACTTTTTTTAGACACTTTGTGGTGCGTTTTGGCACCAGTACATGGCACCTGTATTTCTAGAAAAAAACTGCATACTTGTGATGAACAGCGATTACAAACACATGCATAGACAAACAAACACTTCTCTACCGTGAGATATACAAGGACGTCATTCATGTTGGCCAGTCGATGATGCCTTGTGAGCAGCTGGGTGTTGTTCATCAAGAGCATGATTTTCTCACTGGCTTTCAAGGCCATGCGATGCATGGTTGATACCGGCATCATGCGATCAGGGGTGAAGTTTAGAGATGGGGCTTGAGGTTTCTGGTTGCTGCTGTTCCGCAGCAACTCATACCCGATATTCATGCTGGTCATGGCTGCAGAGTCTGCAAAATGCTGGAGACAAAATAGTGGTTAAATAAAATAACTTTTGTACCTAAATTTCCAGGTGGGATAAATCATTTTAGGTCATGTCACCGTGGTAAATTTAACCGCAACACAGGTTTATTTGTTATTAGACCGTATAAAGAAACCATGTTTTGAGACTAATAACATCTTCTTACTCGAAGTCATCTCCCCCCCCCCCCCCCCCCCGGTTTCCTTGCCTTCTCTTTCTCTTCTATATTGGCGTTTTGTGTGTGCGCGTCTCTCCCCTCTCTTGCTGTTGTTTCGGATTTAGCTTCACTAGCATCTATAGTTATAAATTATAAGAAAAACTCCATAGAAAAGCATGCACAGCAGGGGTCTACCGGTCTTAAGTAGAAAATCTTTCATCGACAATTGTTTTTACTAACTTTTAGTTTTAGCCCGTTACTTCCTCAACAAAAACTGACATAAGAAGTCCTTTTTTAAAATAAATTTTTAACTGTATCCCAGAGTTCCCTGAAACTCCTAGATAGATATATGTCAATACTTGTCTCCGTGAGCAAAAGTCACATAATTAACCAAACTTTAGGAACGTCAATCTTACCACAAATCCAGCGTTAGTAACACTGGCGTCGTACCGTTTCCATGGACGACAACCATTAGTAATCTCGAGCTGTTTTTATACTCCCAAATATGAAGAGCTGACAAAGGGCAACAATGATTTTGAATGTGCCGTGTTAAAATTAAAATAGTTAATATAGCTATCTCTCTTGTTGTCATTGTATTATTTCACTCCATTCCAGTTTGTGTGTACTGTACAATTCCCTTACCGATATAGGACGCACTTTTTCGTTTATTCAAAGCCCCACTCAGGCTGTAGTCAGGAACCCTAATATAACCTAACGGTTGAACGGGGTTTTGGGAATTGTTCTCGTGTGACCCCAATCCGAAAGTGGCACTTTGTTTCACTCGGTGTTTTGTCGCTCGTTGCACGGTCCCAGTGGAATTAAAAGACACACGGGTTTACTGTATTGAGGTCTGGAAGATAGCCAATACAAAGGGGAATCATGGAGGAACTTGTAATCAGGCTGTAACTGGTACTATTAGCATGTCGACTCTTTGTGGGTAACGGAAGAAGCGAGTTACGTTTAACTTCACCAGGACCCTGCCTAGGTCGAATAACGAACTCAACAACAATTATTATAAACACAGCGGACTGTAATTTAGCGGAAAGAATACAAAGAACATTGAAGAAAGAGATCTGACCAGTCGGTTCCATTGTGTTACACTGCTGGGGTGACCGTTTATTAACCCTCATATAATTCTTCCGGTCGAAATGGACGCTAGGTACGGCCACCTTTTTTTTAAAAGCCGTGGCAAATATTTTTTTTTTTTTGCCAGACGGTGGCCGTTGCATTTTTGCTCCATTTGTAGACTGGAAGGATGTAGTTTAGTCGCCCAGCTTCTGAGTTGAGTGCATGGCGTGACACTGTGAGCTGCGTTTGTTTTTCGTTGGCACAGGAGCGGAGCATATGTGGGGTGACCCGTTTGCTATGAAGCTGAAACTAGGATTACCAGATTACCAGATTGTGTTACACTACTACACATGGTTATAGCGTATACAACGAACGGATCTACTAAGATTACCAGACAACGGATCAACATCATAACACACGGGTCGTAACTCATAAATGATCCGCTCTACTTCAAACTCAAGTCTGAGTCCGACTGCAAACGCGGCTCTCTCTTGGTTAGAAGTTTCTAATACTGTAATGCTAACGATGATATTAACATTAATACTATGCTGAAAAGCAAAAGAAATATATTATTTTAAAAATCATTTTAAATGTTTAAAGGAGTACATTGGATAGAAAACTTTACAAGTTTAAAAAAAAAAGAGAGGTGAGTGCCTTTGTTAACATTATTATTTTCTGTGGACGTGGGAGGGGGTGGGGAAGGGGGAGGGGTGGGAAAGGGGGAGGGGTGGGAAAGGGGGAGGGGTGGGAAAGGGGGAGGGGGTTGGAAGGGGGTAGTAGAGATAGGAGTTATAGGTGTCCAGGCCCTGATGTCCCGGCATATCTGATTGGAAAACAGAGTAACGAGTACCTCAATGGCGTGGTCACGTGACGTGAGTGGTACAAGACGGTAAACAGTCCTGATATAAGAATACTGGTTGTAGGAGATGGCGAACTAGTACCACATTAACTTTTTGGTATTGTACTACACACACACACACACACAACACACACACGCGCGCTCGCACAGGCACGTACGCACATACTGAGTGAGAGAGGGGAAGAGAGAGGTTAAGAGAAGAAAAGTGAGAGATTTGAAAGAGAGAGAGGGAAAAGGGAAGAGAGGGAAGGGAAGAGAGGGAGGAAGAGATAGAAACAGAAAAAAGAGAAGAAGATAGAGAAGGAAGAAAGAAGGAACGACAAAGGAAGAGAGAATAAGAGGGGAATAGAGCGCGAGCGAACGAACAAATGAACCATATTCTTAAAGGGAGAGATGAAAAAAGAGAGAGGAAGAGAGAGAGTGAGAGAGAGAGAGAGAGAGAGAGAGAGCGGGTAAGACACAGAGAGAGGAGAGAGAAAGAGAGAGACGATGGAAGAGGAAGAGATTGGGGGAGTAAGGAAGGGGAAAGAGGTGAAAAAATGGAGGAAGAGAAAGATAAGAAGGAGAGGGAGGGGGTAGATGGAGAGAAAGAGAGATAAAGTAGAGAGACACAGTTTGCTACATCTGTTAACATGACTAAACCCGGAACCTCCCAATTTTCTCCTTCAATAGTCTAAAGATGGTCGGAAATGGAAGTCTGGAGAAAACAGCTGCATTTATTCGTCTGATTTCCAAAAGTGGCCGAATGTTCTAGACTTAATTTCCCGCCACATATGATCCGTCTGCTCGCACGTCAGATGCCCCGACAGGCTCTCGATTCCTCTGAAAGCATTTGCCCTCCAGCTACAGAAGACATCCCTCAGACACTTCCGCTTGGCCAGGCAGAAGACGAATCTTGCCCCCATTAAAATTTCTTTTCCCTCCAGCTAACTCAATTTGTCACACTGGGTTTAAACAAAATATAGTAGCCTATTTTAAAAGAAACTGATTCATCATCAGCATCATCATTATTTATGTTGTCATTGTCCCTTTTCACACATACACACAAGGAGCTGAAAAGGGGAGTGGGGTGGGGGGAGGTCCCTCATTACTGTTTTGTGTGGAAAGGGTGCTCAAGAACCTTACGCCTTCTTTAAGTGCAAAATAATAATAACAGTTAGCTGAAGGGCAAATAATATAATTTACTTTACTTAGTCAATCCTCTTCTACTTTGGGGCGTAGAGGTTTGCCAAAGAGATCGTCAGACTTCTTTATCAGCAGTTTTTATTGTTGCTCTGTTCGATTACTTCGGAATCTGTGGTTTAGGTGTTGCGAACGCGCTTCAAAATTCCGGGGTGCCGGGTTCGGTCCCAGCTGCTGGCCTTGCACCATGCATTGTTTTAGACAGTGGTATCGAGAAGCCGACTATGCAGAACTGTGTTGGCAGTTAAGACCACTGGGCGCCAGAGTTCCCAAGGTGTAAATAAAGCGATGTTCAAGAGACTTGCGAACTCTGTCTCTGGAGTGGCTAGATTTAGTGGCTGTCACCTCCACGTCGTGGACACCTTGGTGGTCCTAGGAATTGAAATGCAGTGGTACTGGTTTCAGGGCGCCGTTCTGCACGTCCAAAAGATGTTGTCTGAAACTGTCAGCCAGTCGTTAACCCGTTTCATCGATGTATTTAATGCCACATCTCTTGCAGTTGATGGCGTAAATTACATTACGGCTCGTGCAATAAAAGTCTTCACGTATGTGGGAGTTGGCATTCGGGAATTCCAGGCTGGTACCCTGAACCACATATGGACAGGTCCTGCATACAGGTCTATGGCAGGAGACCGTCCCGAAGTGGGGCTCGGAGGCAGGTAGTAACCGACTCTTACATAAAATGTCCTTGAGATTACGGTCATGCCTAGGCCACTAGAGATAATATAAAGTAAGCATATAAACTAACATCTAACATCTGTAGGCAACCATTACTCCCTGGGGACCATATAGTTGTGCCGATGGGTTTGGCAACAGCGTCTGCTGCGACTGTAGTCTCTCCAGGACATGCCTGGAAATGTTGAACTGGAGTACAGGCTGTTGCCCAGGCAGCAGGTAAACCCCCTCCTCTATCGTCGCCGGTGATACCAAGGGAAGGACAACTGCCAACACATTTTGGCACAGAAGACGTTGCAGGCATTGCCAGAGCAGCAGTGTAAACAGCGTTAAACCACTCTAATACTTAACAAGTGAACTTCCTGCATATGTGGTTAGTAGGAACCGCCTGCAACCTTCTAGGGGCTGGATGCATGAGATCCCAGATATCTTTAATGCCAGCTGGATTTTTAGTATAGTTCCTCCAGCCTGGAGGAAGTCTGAAATCTTCGTAATCCTGAAACAAGGAAAGCCGAAGAACAACGCAGATAGCTACAGACCCATCAGCCTCACTAGCTGTCTGTGCAAACTATTTGAAAGATTATTGAACTACCGACTGACC